TTACCTTTTATTTTAATTATTAAATTTCCTCGAAACATTTGACTAAATGTATTAATTTCCCCGACGCCACTGATGATGACCTCTTGAGGTCGAAACGCGTATGGAAATAGTGTCAATTATAGTGTTAATTAGTTGTTGGTCTGTTCACTCTATATTCTAATACACTACACGGTATGCAAATTTTTAAGATTGGCTTCTTTTAGCCATCTAATCATTTAATTTTTCCCCTCATAAACTTTGTGAAGCGGAGTTTAATTGTGTGATCGACCAATTGCTACGAAGAAGACGCAGAATTTTTTTTTTTGAAGTACGTTGCCCTCCCGATTTTCGAAATTAGGGCTTCAAGTTCCGTGTTAAAAACCCACACATTCTAGACGCGTTCCTTTAGTTACGTTAGCTAAATGTAGTTTGGTTTATGGGAGTGCGTATTGCCTTCTAACCTACCGATTTTAACCACAAATACCAATTTTCCCGATGATAAACGCGTGTAGTATCTGTTGAGCCGTCATTGTATTTGATGATAAGCTGTGGTAGTTCACCCGTTTCCCTACGCGCTGGGTGTGCAACACCAACTTCTTGTTATCAGTTTGTGGAAGCCACGGAGGCTTAAATTGCAAGCCACTTAAGAAACGAAAAGATAAGATGGCCGAAGCGGGTAGACATAAAACGACAAGAACCTCAGGACAGTCGCAAGTCCTCGAGAGAAGCGACTTCGCTGAAACGATGGTAAAGTGGGACACACCAGTGCACCATGGGAAACATGAGATCATAACGTCGATGGCAGAGCACGGGTTCGTCTACGCAAAATAAATCAAGTCAACCATCCGCAGACATGGTCTTTTGAGCTGTAATCCGGGTCATCCACGGAGATCCTCTGCCAAGTAGAACAAGTGACTGTTGACTCTTCAGAGTGCTCTGTTCTGTTGTTCAAACCTGTGATGGGCTCGGAGCGTTGACGAAAATATTTGACCCCCCACGAGGGATGAAATGAATTTTGTTTCTGTCCTAAACCGTCGTCAGAATTTTTCAAAGCCTATCTTTAACGCAGTTAAATTTTATATAGAGAAGTGTTCTGTTTTCTTTGCGGTAGGAACTGAATGTTTAAGTACAGTGCGTTCACTGATAGACTGGAGTGCAACTGTCACTAATTGGCTTCCGGCAGGAACTGCATGTCTCATCGTCTAGTGCTACAAGACTATCTCGATACAAGTATAGCCCCATAAGGCAATTAAAGCAACTCGCCTCTGTTACAAGAGATGCTGTTCGGCAATGAACGCACTTCGGATTCGAAGGTTCATTAATTCCAGTGTCGCCAACATACATCGTCGTTGCTATGGCCAGATTTTTATTTTATCACCTCAGACATTATACTAACAACAAATGGATTATTATGGATTACACTACGGAATATTAATTTTAAATTAATGGATTTGTCACCATCATCGTCCTGATGATGGAGGCACCAGTAACATCCGAAATGTTGGGATATTTGTACAAGACTGCACGGCACAACAAGCCACAAGGCAGCTAACTAATGGATTTACGGCTTAAGAAAACATTTTGTGGTGATTTGAAACGAAATTGAGGTTTGTGTTTGATCATTACTTTTTCTGGATATGTAAAAGCTACATTAGCCAAAGTAAGATAACTTCGCGTGTTGAGAATAAAAGCCAGTTTCGTCTAAAGTAAACAAGAAACGTATATGTATTTGATGCTAATCTTTGAACGTTGTACATCGTAAAGATTACAAGCAGACGCCAGGACAGATTTCAGATAACTGATTTTCGTCATGTAATTCCTTCTTGTCTCCGTCTTCATGTTAGTCGATTTCCTTCACAAGAGTACCAAGCAGGTTTGCAAACTACGAAACAGTGACATTCGAAGGGCCTTCCCAGAGATGATTTAGAAATCTTATTATGGAAGGTAAATGTTCACCACCGCTATAATAAATTCTCTGGTTGTTCCGCGTGTGGCGTGTGAAGTGATAGCCATTATTTCGCGTTATTGCACCACGCATCGAAGTGTGATCTCGTCACCACAGATGAACGAACTTTGTCACATTGACTGAGTCATTCGAATGGAAATCTGGCAGCAGGGATAGGCTCTCTGTGTCGCTTGAAATACAACTGGCAGAAAAGAATTTTTACTGGAGATATGGACCATGAGAAGAAGGGATTTGTGCGTCCTCTGATATTTATAGGTTGTGAAATAACGATTGGCTTTACTTGTGGATCGCATTAGACAAACAATAATTACATTAAAATCTTTAAGAAATAGGTTTGTTGGTAATATTAAAATTAATAACTGAAAAAAAACAAGTTGTGAACTGAACACAAAATATATTTTTCTAGTTTAATCATGTCATTTTAGAGTCTGAAAATAGCGAATGTTACTTTCATAATACTGTTACTGTGAAATGTAATGCAGTCAGTAATATTCTTATGTTTCAGAATATGCATTTGTGTGTATGTTGGTTTCAACGTATTCATAAAACGAACTAAGGAACTAAGTGGGAGAAAGTTATATTAACTAAATTTCTTAGATATATGTCAGCATAAAAAAATAAATGTTGTGTAACCTTTTAATAGGTCTAATTTTAACTACGTTAATTGATTTTCCTATATAAATTGTTTTATTGTTACCACAACCGCTTCCTTCCATATCTTTACCTATTTTCATCATTCATCTATTAATCGACACTGTACAATCTGAGATCCTAACAACAACGTTGAATAACAAATAAATAAATTTGTACGTATGTTAGGACAGGGACATGTCCAAATTTTTTCTAAAGGTTTGATACAAGTTCAATCTTAATTCCTGGAAATAATTAATTTTTGTATTTAACACTGTATTTGTGGCCAAAGTTTTTGTCCTTACATGAGACATAGGACATAATGATGACAGGTCCTATGCAAAATCAATATTGAAAACATTAATAAAGATCATGATTTCGATTTACGCTTCTGTGAGACGACAAACGAAGTGAACACATTAAAATGTGTACCGAACACATAAACCAGTAATTGTGTGCATCGCTTGTAGATGATTGTACGTAATAAAATGTTAAATGCAGTATTGCAATCATCTGTGAGTTGAGTGTCTGTCTTAACGCTTCAAGCGAGTAATAAACCGGAATATGTAGCTTTAATTTAATGTGTGGATATTTTTATGGAACACACTTGACGTGAAGTACTACTGATTTATTTCTCTGCAACTCATTAGTTGAATAATAATTTTGTTCTGCTTATTTCAAGCCTCTTCACGTGCGTTTAAATCTGTAAAGTTGCGGAGAATGTTGTCGTAAATTCTTGGTAACAGAAACGGGTGTCAGGTTTGCAGAAAATATTCTCGAAACTTTACTTAAGACGAAACATTTCAAGCAAACAAAGGACTGAGGAGAATATTTTCACCCGCTGGAATGGAAATTTTAATAATATATCTACTAGAAGTAGACACACAAAACATTATTATGTTAAATCATTATATTTTATAGCGAATTAAAATAAATTATTAATCATTAAATCCTTTTTTCTCAAGAGACACTATTTTTTTTTTATTTAGGTGGGTCTGAAGAACTATGACAGCTATGTTTTAGAACCCCCCCCCCCAGAATTTTAAATTTGGGATGTCAGGGATTGGGAAGGACTCAGAATTCCACACATGGTCTTTTTTAAAAATTAAATTATATTAATATTCTCAACCTTCTCCAGAAATTACAGACTGTCATGTATAAAACATTTTAATATTATCATAATTTAAGACAATAAAAGTTTGATCATCAATAAATATTCAATAAATTAATGGCACATGATGATAATACAAATTGAACACACGGATTCAAGACTTCAGAATAAATTATTAAATAAATTAAGCGGAATGACACGCGGTACTTAAAATGAACGAGGAATCACTCATTCAGCTGTACTTTTGTGTCCAAGGTAGAACAGGGTCGATATATCCTGTGGTCACAAAATTAAATTACGTATTGCAAATGATCTAATAGAAAGAACCTTTTTTGGAAACAGAACAAAAATACATAAATTACATGTTCTGTAACAATATCACAATCAGAACCTCGTCCCAATGTTTCCAATAAGATTCATTCTCCAGCTTAATGCAGTTTTGTTGTTCCTCTAAGAAACAAACTGTCTTATTAGTTTGCCTCTTTATAAACATACTTAAACATCACTTAATGCTTAAATAAATATAGGAACTATAACCTCAGATCACATACAATTTCGTGGCAATATTATAAGCGTATCGTAATATTTACAAAAGGACCTATTTTCTCTGAGATCGGTCCACACCGTCAGCATTTTTTGTTTCTGTGTTGTTGTTGTTGTTCTTTTTAACACTTATAAAACATGAAACGTATTTGTTGATATGCGGTAATACTGTCATAACACTTGAGAATTGTCATTACCACTAAACTACTTTACAAGAATGACTTATCAAAGTCTGATAATGTAAGTCGCACGACGTTGCATCAACAAGGAATTATTTTAAATTCGTATAAAATAACCGCGGTTGCCCACTGGCTCGTTGCGTCTGGCAGAAGTTCACCGACGTTTCAGAGGTTCTTGCTGCCTCCATCATCAGGGCGATTATCGCAGCAAGCGACCTCCGAAACGTCGGTAAACTTCTGTCAGACTGCACGACGCAAAAACTCGGACGACGGCCATATTTTGAATCCTATTCTTATGAATTAATTTGATATAAAAATTCTTGTAAACTTTAAAGTGTGTAGAAACATTTCAAAATGACATCTGATGTCCCTTATATGGACGGAATTGATATTACAGTGTATACTTAGTATACACAGAATTTATAACTGTAGGGATATTCGATATCTGAAATACGGCCTTGAGTGGGCTTGGGCGGAGGGGTGCTGGCTTCTTACCGTAGATTAAATCCCGGGTGACCTCTAGTGAGATTCATAGTTGACGAAGCGACACTGTAACAAGATTTCTTTTTCCCCACCAAGTTCTTGTGTTTTCCTCCGTTAATCACCATCCCTCCGTAGCTCCATATTCAACTATAATCGTGTTTGAGCTCTGACCAAGCAACAAATCATCACACCCTCAGTCTTCAGTTAGTAGCTTCATCAGGGCTCGGAGTAAATTGTCGTTTATATAATATTTAAAATGTCAGATCATAATCCATACTTTGTTATTCGAACAAAGAAGTCTAATACGCGTATCAGATTATGTTATAGGTGGCTATCATTTGCCATCGGACGTCTCTTTCGTGTTGGAACGTGTCGATTTTTTTTTTCGAATTTGTACGAACTGACATGCATAATTTAAAAACTGGGCCGAGGTATTCGTCATTGTCTCTGTTTCTTCTTTCTCTTACCGACACTTTCAGAATTCTTGCACACACCTTTCTTCATAACTTTGCCTATGATCAAATTCCATTCTCCTAGGAATTTCTTGTACAAGGAAATGACCCCCCAGTCTTGAACTAGGGATCCTGTAGCATCTGGGCTCCTGTCCCATTTATCTTCAGTCGAAAAGAAATCTTCTCTTACTCGGTCAGGTATCGATATATTCAGACTTTCGAGGGCCCATTCAACTTCGCATAGAACCTGCGGAAATAATAAATAACAATATGAGAACAACGATAAATAGTTAAGAATTTGAATCTTATCAGTCTGATCACAATAAAATTCCTATTAAATATTAAAATATTATTATAATTAACCTTTAAATATTTAAAATATATTAAATGATGTTCTCTATCGAAATGTTCGATTTACATTAGATCATCACTTTTTTACACGACATGTTTCAGTTCTAAAAGAACCATCTTCAGGTGTATAAAATTATATAAACTTAAATATAATTTCTTAAATGCAATTTTAATATTTAATAGGAATTTTATTGTGATTAGACTGATACGATTTTAACAAATATATATTTATCACAATATGACGCAACTTTATCATCTTAAGAATTTGAAGTTGTCTGCGTACTTAATTAAACACGACGCCATATATATGGGATTGGAGGCAAATGCATGCTTTCTTAACTCAGAAACAGATGGAAGTGTGCGGACAGTTTTACAGACAGGCGTTACGATCTCCTTGTAAATTAACTGTAGGATCGTAGGATTTATACATTTTGATAATTATCATATTAATTAAAATAAATTTCGCTGTCTTAATATGGTTTATGTTATTTCTTGTAAATTACCCACAAAAAATCTGAAGTAGTTAACATTTATAGTGTAAAATATCCCGCAAGGCTCGAAAACTCTTAACAGGGAAACGATTATAACAAAACACATTTAGAAATATTTTATCGCGAGGCAGAAAATCTTGTAAGAACAAGTGATCACCTATCAACACTTGCTTATTATATAAATATCATATTTAATCGTTATTTACCTGAGTGAGATGTTGGGCTATTCCTTTGATAACTCCCTTTCTGATTCGTGCGATGTTTTCTGGATAAATTTCAGGCCGGTTGAATTTTCTCAGCTCTTCGAACGTAGCTGAGAAGTTTTGCAAGGAGCTGTGAAGAACTTGTAGCACATTCTTTACCTGCAAAAGCGTAAACAAAAACAGATTTAATAAGACAGCTCGTGACTCTCAACATTTGTATATCAGATTGTGTAGTGTTCATTCTGTAAGCGAATTGACCCGAAAGTTGCGTATTGTGTAATTATTCATAACTTTTGATTACTTTCATGTTTTGTAGCGCCTAGTCGCGGTCACGATGTGGATTATTAAATTTATGTTAATATTCGGGCTGAATTTTTTAAAGGCTCAGAAAATTTGACAGGTTAGCGCAGACAGTAGAAGTTTGGTACATCGGAAGCTTACCTTAGCTGATTTCTCTAGGCACTGTATCTTGTTCTTGTACCAGTTAAGCTGCCTCTGTGGTAACCAATCATAACGATAGAGTTCTTCCTTAAGCAATCCAACCTGTGAGAAGAAATGCACCTTTAAGTAATTACACTTTGACATCAAAACATTAAGTGATGTGAATACATAATTAAATATTTTAATAAAACCTTAAACAGACCTTCAAAATTTTAATAATCTCAATTTAAGAAGATGTCTGTCTTCTGGGATATTTCGCCCTGCAGTATTTTAGAAAGTTACCGGCGTTTCAGAGGTTCTTGCTGCCTCCATCATCAGGGCAACCAGTGTAAAAATATCGCACTCACTAAACTGAATAAAATCATCTGTATACAAAATATTCGTGGTCAAGGCTTTTATCGGATATTCAAGAGAAAAGTTTTCCGTTTTCCCTCACAAATTCTAATTTAGATTAGTGAGATTTTAGGTTCTGACGGCGGCGAGCATGAAAACGACTGTGTACGGTGTAGTCTGGTTGAAATTGACAGACATTTCAGAGGTGGTGCCTCTGTACTTTTCGCAGTTTCTGCGGCAGTAACTGACTATTTTATAGAAATAATATTGATGTTCGTACCCGGTCACGATTTCGCCGTAGGCAAGTGTTTTATACCCAGATTTTAACTGAATGTCTCTACTACAGTAATCTTAGCGCCGTGTTCCACTCCGACTGACGTACGCTTTGAACTTACCTGTTTGTATGTGGTGACGATGTTTTTCTCCTCGTTCTTGAAATACTTGTTGGCGACACCTATCTGAGTTTTGACGACTTTTAGCAGCTTAGAAGGTCCGTGGCGACTCGCGTGTTTACCGGTGTTTGTGTCAGCTCTGACGGAGTGACCACATGGATGGTGCCATGCTCTGATATTCACTGGTCCGCCTTCGGAGTGAACTGCTAGGGATGCAACGAGAACCCCGAACACAACTGGAAACACATGCACACATGCTCACTTAACTCACTTTTTGCGGTATCTGGTATAATTGTGTTATCGGAATGCCGTGAAGAGTGTTACGTCTTCAGGCAAATCCTGTCGTAGAACCTCAAAGTACGCCAATAACTTTTGTTCCTTCCCAGTTGCTGATCGCTAAGCAGGCCGATAAACAAATGAAATTAATTTTTACTAAATATTCCCCTCACATCGACGGAAATGAAATCTGATTAGATAATAAGTAACGTGTCTTGACTAGCCGAATGTAACCAGACTTTATTTTGTAATGTGCACATCAACTATAAGTTATTTCAATGTATTTACAAAAATGTTTTTTTTACTGAGACCCAAAATTACTCCCAGACATAGAATCTCTAGATTACAGAGTCATCTTATGACCCTGGTGATACCCCCACACTAATCAGATTTGTCACGATTTCAGAGATGGGAGACACTAATTTGAGCACATCGATACGTCATTAAC